GGAAAGAAGCAGAATAGCATAGAACGGGAATGGATGAGAACGGAATGGAATAGAATAGAATAAAATGGGATGGAACGGAAAGAAGCAGAATAGCATAGAACGGGAATGGATGAGAACGGAATGGAATAGAATAGAATAAAATGTGACGGAATGGAATACAGTAGAACAGAATAGAATATAATGGGATTGGATGGAATAGAAAAGAATAGAACAGGACAGGACAGGGTGGATTAGAATAGAATAGTATAGAAAAGAATAAAATGGGATGGGATGGAACGGAATGGAAAGGAGCAGAATACTGTAGAATGGGAATGGATGGTACGGAATGAAATGGAATAGAATAGAATAGAAATTGAATAGACTAGAATAAATTGGGATGTGATAGAAAAAAAACAAATAGATTGGGACTAAACAGAATAGAAAGGAATAGAATAGAATAGAATAGAATAGAATAGAATAGAATAGAATAGAATAGAATAGAATAGAATAGAAAGGAATGGAATATAGTAAAATATTAAAAATAGAATAGCACAAAAAAGCACAGAATAGAACAGCAAAGAAAACAGAACATAATAGAATAGAATGGAATTTAAATATGAACTGTCTATCAGTGGAGGCACCAGCAGAAAAAATAAAAGTAAAAGAAAGAATTTAAATTCACACCGAGGTATTAAGTATGTTAACAAACAGAATAAAAACTACTAATTATGGACCATTATACAATAGGAGAATAATTACAGCCTGGTTCGAAAGAAAGAGCAACTGAGTGGCGTAATCTAAAAAAAGAAAAAAGTCACAAAACATGCATATATATGTATGAATAAAAAACAGACTTTTTACAATAATTAAAAAAATAGAGCTAACAAAGCTGGGATGTTAACTCCTATGAAGTTTATTCAGGACAATAATGGTTACAACTCTGTGCTTTTAAGATGCAGCACTTGTGGGAGACATTGTCCAATAGTAAAGTCACTATAAAGAGACATGTATATTTGATTTAAAAAAATACACAAGCTAAACAATCTCCTTCTGCAGATTTTATGCATAAACATCCAAACAGATATGAAATGCAATTTAACAAAGAACTTAACAATAATCCAACCAAAATGCTTCAACATATTTACCTGGAGTTTTTTTAAATCCATACAGGAATCTCTATAACGTAACTAAAGCAAGTGAACAAATCTAAAATGTCAATATTACTAACTTCTCATAGTCCTCCTCCACTGATCATTTCTGATCCGTGTTGCTGCTTTAGACAGTCCAACACGTTTTAGCCTTTAATTGGCTGGTGAGCAGACAGGTACAGTAGGGTGCAGAGCAGATTTTAATGCACAGACTGGGAGAGCTTTTAATCTTTTCTAAAGCTACATTTATGACTTGGTACGTTTTGAAGGTTAAAATACACCCGCTTTACTTTCACTAGCTACTGCACAATGCATTTTAATGACAATCGAACAGTACTTGGAATAGATTGAATGGCTCTAAAACAGATCAACTATTAGGAATTTGCTGCATGACTGTACTGTTTATGATTATTGTTTGTTTTATATTTTATGTTCTCAAAAACTACATGCTGCCATGGTGCCAAGATGCCATTTCTACACCAATGCCAAGGTTTTATATATGCACCCTAATTTTACAGTAATGTCACCTCTTACCATCAGTGAAATATGAAATAATCAGCAAAGACATAATTCAGTTTTTAACAGTGAATTTTCACTCAAGTAAAAGGAAACTTGTTACACGTGCTTATAACATTTCTAGCCTCAATACGCAAACAAAAAAAATTGAACATAATGAGGGCAAAAACATTTTTAATTTATTTTTCTAACCCAGGAGATGTGGTTAATGTATCTTCAATTACAGTGTGGTGCAAAAGTCAACTTTATATTATTTACTTGTGAGAGATAGTTATACACTGAACGTCGTGCATAAACATTAAGTAGAAGGAGAATGATGCATGGTTTAAGGCAATTTAATTATGGTTTAATCATTTTTACAAATAAAAAAAAGTTACTAAGCCTTTGTAAATTGCATTTGATCTCACGTCTCCACTACTGTGTGTTGGCTAATTACATTTTAGTTGTATGTATTGAGGTTTGTTGCTTCAGGTGCTATTAAAGGTATTTTGGAGGATTTTCTTTTTCCAGGTGGATCATCAAAATAAGTGGTCCTCCTAATTGTCAACCATTCTGGTGATATGTTTACGTAAGGCCGTCCTAAGTGCTCCTCCCCATTTTCACTTACCGGTGGTGAGTCTGACATATTTGAAAAAAAGGGAAAACTTCTTTTGGAAAGTAAGCTTGTATGAGCCATGCAAACAGTAAGTTTTAAACAATGCGTGCACGAGGAGAAATGGGCTCAAGCATGCTCTCAATACATTAAATAGGCGTTCCCTCTTGGAGGAAGTCAAGGGTTGTGCATGTGCATCTTTTTAAGCGGAGAAGCCGGGTCTTTTCCAAAATTCGTGGAAATCTTCCATTATACCTTTAACATTTTTGTAACACATTTTTAAATGTTTCATCAAATGTGTGTTTTGTCTTCTGTGTACCTCATCATTCATTAAAGTGATCTCAGAGATCGGCATAGCTGTGTAACTGTTAATCTCGATTTACTCAACACTGGAGAGTGGGAAAACTATGATTTACAATTTTATGTCATCAATATATGTTGTGTGGAAAATATGCCAGCTCAGTTGCATTTTTAACCTTTATTTAGTTAGTGGAACAACGTGTGTATGCTTTGAATTCTTGTGTTTTCAATTGTGAAAGATTTAACTAGCTTTAGATTAGTTGCGAGCATCCTTTAATTAACTTCACTGAGGCTTTGACAGTTAATTAAGAATTTCAGCTTGAATGCCTCCAATTAGCAAGGGGCAACATCACTTGTGTTACTGCGGTTGGAAGAGAATATTCCCCTGATATTCACACCAAAGTGTTTGCAATAAAGCCTTAGTGGACAAAAGGAAGAAAATACAGCGAACATAGCAAAGCTGATGAACAGGGATTGGGAGATGGTTTAGACTCGTCCACAAAGAAGCTTAGAGGTCAGATCAGCATTTATAAAAAACAGACAACACAACCTAAAAGGTGGCATATGTTCTAAATGTGCTGTCATTAAAAAATAAATAAAAATTCAAGCTAAATCAAGGTTCAGGGTTTCACCCTCTGCCATCCATGATGGTAAAAAGATATTTGCTCCAGGTTCATTATGGTGCCTGAATACACTAGTCCCAAGGGCTACCACAAGAATGGATGGATTCAAAGCCCACTGATTGAATCTTTTGATGAGCAGGTGAGCTTGCTTTTACTCCCAGGGGTCTTTTTCTGACACTTGTCCTATTCAGTTCACGCACAGCTATGGGTCCTGGGAATGACAATGCAGCCCAGGTCCTGGTCTCTAAGGTACGAGGCTGCATCGATCACGCTGCAGCTGTGCAGACACATATCGAGGTAGTGGATGATAATGATTATCTTTTATTACCTCAGCATTATCTACCTCAACATTACTTAGAATGTTGTATCATTGGCAAATATAGAAACACCACTTAAAACCAACGCAGAAAAGCATGTGTTTGAAAGTTAGGATGAAAACATATTTAACGAGTGAAAGTTATGACTTTATTTAGCTCGTCCATTGTTTGACAAAGCAAAAGCAACCCAGCTCGTTATTGTTACCATTTTCTTTGCACAAGATAAGTATTCTCTACAAACTTGAATGACTTTAGCTGCAATAGTAAAGTTCTTTTTACTCAGCTTATTTAGCAGAGTTATTCAGTTCAGTGCACAGCAAAGATATTCCAATACGATTTAAATCTGCAGTCAGACCAAGCATTTGCTTTCTTTTTCAGCAATTCTTTTGCGTTGTTGCTGCGTTCGGGATCATGCTCCTGTTGCTAAATGAAATTAACCTGGTATCTATTTATATGGCAGATGTGCCAAGAGTTGACTCTAGAAAACTAACATACAGAGAAGTTCATGGTTAGCTTAGGGTGAATGGAAGTCCTTGTGAATGGACCCAAATCATCACCTATTTACCAACACGATTGACTGTTAGTACAGGATGGATGTGCTAAAGACTGTGCTTGTCAAATATGACTCTGGCAAATATTTTTATTTTTTTTTTAATACAGATTTCTATTAATTTGAACACCTAACTCCTGGTGCCATGGTCTTTTCAATTAAGAGTACAGTAGTAACCATTGAAAATTTCCACACTTTCCTTGATGAGCCCTTGGCTGGTCCCCTAAGATTCCTTTTTTAAACATCAATCTTTTTACCAAAATATTCTGTCAGGATTTGTGGAAATTAAGATCTAAAGAGAAGTGTTATCTCCTGGTCAGACCCTGTAATTAAGTGAAAGTCAGAGTAAAAAAAAGCATGCCTGCCTGGGAAGGAGGAGGGGGTCACACCGATGGATGGAAGTTGGCTGCCATTCGGCTGGCGTTTGACTGGGAAGGGCCTCCTTGAATGGCTGCTACTGTATATTGCATCCTGGAAACCCTTCCAAAAAGGCAGCATTGTTCATTGTTTTAATAGCGCTGTCATTAACTTCTAATTGGAGGCAGTGGAGCATTAGATGGAGCTCCTAGTTGTTTTTTGACCCATGTTGTGTTGGGGCTATTGCCTGTTTTAAGAGCTCTTTGGGCAAGAGGTGGAACACACCCAGAACAGATTACCAGTCCATCTCAGGGAAAATACACACACGAGTGCACAGTCACAGTCATAAGGGTAATTTAGATTTATTAGACTGACATTTTATGCAGCTGAGGAAGGAATCCAGAGCTTTATGCTAAAACATTGCTGGTTTGGCATAAGGGCATCCAACTTTTATGCTCGTCACAAATATCTTTCCATTTTTGCAAACTCTGAACCATTTTCCAGTGATGTAAACAGTTTTTTCTGATGACTTATTTGTAATTTAACTTTTTTCACATTTACATTTTCATTTCAAGTTGCTAATTACTAATGAATCGATGATCAGGTTATTTTTAAAGAGATTACTTTCCAATGTTGCAAGATCTCAGGGTCAATGGCTCCAGGTGCCACGAATCACCCCTCTGTAACCTCTCCCCTAGCAGTCATCAATCAAGAGCCACATGGCAGGGAATCAAATGGCTTGGCAGCTATCTCTGCATTTACATAACAATTCAAAAGGACTGTCCTACCATATGCATGTCACAATTAAAGTGTTTTAAATTCATGTTTATTGGTTAAGAAAAGCTTTGTGGATAAATGATTTAAACCTAGTTTTATACAAACATATTATTTAAGCAAATTGTGCTTTTTTATTAAACTATATCGATTGACTTTAATGATAGTGTGCATGTCTCATACCTTAGGTGACTACCCCGCACCACGAGCAGTTCTGACTGGTCACGAACAGGAAGTTGTATGTGTGTCGGTCTGTGCAGAGCTGGGACTTGTCATCAGTGGAGCAAAAGGTCAGCGAGCTTCTTTGTTCATGTAGACGTCGTCAGGATAAAACAGGTTACCAGAAAGGCTTTAAATGATATTTAAAGGCAAAAAGGTCAATTTAAAAGGACCAGGAGTATGTACAGCTGATTAACCTCAATGCAGGGTCCTTATACAGCATTTGTGCTTGCAGAGGGTCCATGTCTGGTCCACACCATAACCGGGGACCTGCTGCGGGCCCTAGAAGGACCAGAAAACTACCAGTGCCCACGGCTCATCTCAGTGTCCAGTGAGGGTCACTGCATCATCTGTTATGAGAGAGGCCACTTCTGCAACTTCAGCATAAATGGAAAACTGCTGGCACAGATGGAGGTCAATGACACCATCAGGGTAAAAACAAAGCTGCCATTAGTATACTCAATAACATATACACATATATGCAATCAATTGACATCTTATGTAAAATAATTTATGGAGACATGCCGTTATTTCTGCATAGCCCTTTTACATTTTTAAAATGGCCAACAGGAAATGAATATAAAAAAGAAAACTAAGCATATGACCTCTGTTATTTGAGGACTCAATGCAAAAAAAGGAAAATAAAATCTAATTTAGTTGCAGAAAAAAACTGAATGAGGTTTTTTTTTTTGAAAGCTGTAAGTGATGCATTAAGCTTTTCTGTATCCCTCCTGAAGGCAATACTCCTAAGCAGTGATGGACACAACCTTGTGACAGGTGGAGACAATGGCGTGGTGAAAGTATGGCAAGCTTGTGACTTCAGACAACTCTACATCTACCCTGGCTGTGATGCAGGCATCCGTGCCATGGATCTATCACATGATCAAAGGTCAGGCTGGGGCCGTTTTAAGATCGTATTTTACCTTAGTTTTATGGTAAACAGGCTAAATCCCATTATCAATCCTGCATATCACCCTTCAGAGCTGTGTGTACTTGTCCCCCCCAATACAATGAGACCCATCATTATTTGTTTTATATTTAAATATTGAGTGTTACTAAACCTAATAAAAATACTGCTTTCCTTAGTGTTGATCCACCATTTCATTTGCACAAAAAAATTGAACTGCAATCAGATTTTGCAATTTTTAATAGTCACATTTGACATGAAAAATGATCAAACCAATGAATAAAACAGAACAAGGAAACGTTTTGGAAAATCATAAAAAGCAGCAATGCGAAACACTAAGAAAAAAACTTTAGCTTATACTAAGATCCACTCAGCTCTTTGCAGAATTTTTCTAGAAATCTTATTTCCCCAGAAATCCAAAAAACTTTGAAACCATTTTTACTTTGTTTTCCAAAACATATGAACGGTGTTGACACCACAAAATCTGTTCTACATTTTCATACAGATGTGGATCCTTGTTCACCACTTTGCTTTTTAGGAAATAAAATCCATCCCTCTTCAACTTTTTTTTTTTGCTTTCACTGAGACTGATGTTTTGACTCTCTTGCTACAACAAAAAAATGAAGCCTCTAAGTTTTTGATCTTATTGTTCTTGGAAGTGTTTCTAAAAAAAAAAAAAAAATTTAAAAATTACTTTTAAACTAGTTTTTATCCTCTCGAGTTCTTGAGGGCAGATCATATGTATTATGCGGTACAACCCCAATTAGTGTTAAGATCACATGATTTGAAAGAAAATAACTGCAGGACATTTGCCCTTTTAATTATTGAAATTCCCTTATTTAATCACATCTTTATACATTATTACAAAAGTAATGTGTAGCCGCTAGATTTACAAATAACCTTTCTGCATAGACTGTTCACTGTGCTCGAACATTTAGAGCCTTTGGGGTCGAGCAGTGTGAGGCTTCCCTGATAAATCACCGGCTTTAGTAACCTCCAGCCAGATATGGCCGCAAAGTGAGACTTGGCAAATTACTGGGTTATAGCTTAAGCTGATGGCTCATTATTTCTAAAGGCGTCTCTCCATTTACTATTATATAGATTTCAGCTTCTCATGCACTTAATGGTAGTCATCACACAGGTTTGTCAAAATTAACAAACATTTCCTTTCTCTGTTTTAGGACATTGATCACTGGCATGGCTTCTGGCAGCATTGTGGCATTTAACATAGATTTCAATAGATGGCACTACGAGCATCAAAACAGGTACTGACCAGATGAAAATTTCCAGCATAAGGACTGTTTGAAGGATTGATAAATTAAAAACCTGCCAACCTGTGAGAGGACTGCACATAAAAGGATCCAAAATGAGGAGTGGGATGTGTCGGCAGGAGAACCTCAGAAACCTTGTCTTTTTGTCTTCATCTGACCTCAGAGGCAACCACAGTGTGATGCATCTGCAGCTGTACAATCTGGACACATTGTTTTATCATGGTACCTAAGCACCAGCTAAAGTCCCCTCCAGCTGAGTTAAGGGGAACTGTTCTCAATAATAAGGAACGGAGGTAAAATACGCACACAAATGTATACATGTTCCCTTTTAAACTATTGGGGGGAAAAAAAACAAAAAGCATATCACCTGTTCACACCTTTCAGATATTTGGAACATGTTTCAAGAAAAAACTAAATCCTGGCAGTGTACAATTGTAAACCTAAAATAAAAAAATAAAAACTGTGGGGCAGGCCAATTTAATAAAATGCTATCATGCAATATTTGTTGGAAACATGGATAAAGAAGCCGTTTGCTCCCAAGCAGAGGTTAAGTGTATGTGAAAAGACTAAATGTTCATATTTGTTGTTCGTCAATATGGAATGGTGAGTTTTAATGTAATCTTAGTCCTTTGTGATAAATGTTTTTGATATGCAACAACACTTAAATGTCACATTGCATTATTTATTATTTTTCTGTTACCATAAGTTTGATTATTGTATGCATTACAAAGCATTTTTCTGTAAATGGAGCAAGAGGATTATAAGCCAGTTTTGGTAGACAGTATCTTTTACAGTTTGTAGTAAAACCGTAACATTTCTGAAAAGTATAATTTTGTAAACATGTCAGTAGTACGTTAGGAATCAATTATTCAAAACCATTGTGTTTTTGTTGTACCATAAGTATGTACATTCATAAACTGCACTTACTGTCAATTTATGCTCTCATAAGCAACATTTTATTTGTATCTAAAGAAGATTAAGGAATTTAGTATTCAACACCCTTTATTGGTAAAGCAGATAAAATGTGTTTATTTCAGCATGATGATCAAAGCTATTGAAGCATTTCTATGCGTTGTTCATCGATTAGATGAACAAAAATATGCAAATGTTTTTATAAACACAGGTCCAAAATAAAAGCATTCTACCTAAAGCTATAATTTTGCATACCAGGATATTCAGAGCGCACTGGGTTCATTTCATTTTTATGTATAACAAATTCTTTTCAATTTTGGTTTTTAAGGAATTCTATTTATAAGAGCAATTCTAGATTTTATACCGTTTTAATTAGCCATACAGTGTAATTTGAATTATTCAGAGATTTAAAAAAATAACCAAGTTAATTGGACCCAAATCGGGCATTATAAAGACTTCAAATATTTAAGCTTGTAATGCATTAATATAAGCTTTAACTTTTTTCATACGTTTAAAAGCAGGGAATCCATAGTACACTAAGTAAATAAGGTTGAATTCTTCTTGTAAGTTTCAGAGTTTAGCAATACTGCCACCTGCTGTTTGAACATGGATCTACCAAACTCCATTTACAGAGACAAACAAATTTTATTTAAGGATTTTTGTTTCAACAGAACAGTTTAAATGCTTTTATTTGATGCTACAACTTTTATCTTGTCCCATTGTCATTCAATATGTCTTATTACAGCTTTATAGGGTATAAATGGGGGGGGGCATTCACAATCTCAGTGTTGACCAACACATTTCAGTGGCAAGTCAAATGGTACCTAAACATATTTAGGGCCAGAACACCTAATACACCAATAGTAAAAAAAAAAAAAAAAAAAAACACATTTGCCTAAAATTCATTCATTGTGCTTTTACATCATCAGAAAAGCCCTTTACCCATTTTTATAGTTACATGGTATACTGTACATTCCAATATTTGTCAGTATGCATTTTAAATATTGTTACCACAGACAGTTAACCTATTTATAATTCCAATTGCAGATTCAAGACGGTTTTTCAGAGTAAAAGACCAGCTCGATTGTATGCATTGTGGTATAGTATGAAAGAAACACATGCACTTAAGAGCCTGAAAAAAACACTCCAAAGAACAATCCCAATTTCGGTATTTCGTCTGAACAAATTAATGAAGTATTAGGAAAACATACAGTGGGTCTTGGAAGTCAAAAGTATTTGCATAAATCATTAAAACAGATTATTGGAAGCACTACTGAATTAACTTTAGTGTGTGAGAAATAGTTCATAGTTGCACCAGTGAACTCCACCTGATAGCATGTCAGTTGTCTACCAGAAACTGTCGTTTCAGCATACCAATATTATACATTTGCACTTTAAACATTCCACCTAATCGCACTTCATACCATCTGTGCAAAAAGACGATGCCATAAAAAGGTGCACTTTTCAACTTACTATACAGTGCAAAATGATCTATACCACCACCATTACTGGAACCCTTATAAGAACTATTGCATTAATCATCAAGCAAATTCGTGAATATAGATTTACCTTAAACCCAATTTCTTTTGGAGGGCAACGAACAAATGGGTCCTTTTTTTTTTTATAAAGTCAATAAATTATTTAATGATCCAATTGTGGGATTTTTCAAGTATCAGAAGTTCTGCACCACATCAATACATTACATCAAGCCAATATTTAAGGAATTGAACACATTTAAATTTAAGGTAAATGGGCAAACATTTTATGTAAAAATAATAATTATACCAGATAAGGAAATTGTTCAGAAAGTACAGTTTAAATCCTACAATCCAGTACTGCAGTACTCAGTAGTGACCATGGGAGGGCCCCAGCAGACTAGACCAAATGGTGACATGTGAGCAAAAATGGATAGTTTGCCAGGTGGCCTTTAAGAAAATATTTAAGGTAGGCCATTAGGTTAACAAATTTGGTTTTTATCCCAAAAGCCATTTTCTAATACCCATCTTACTCTTGTTTATTCACTCACTGAGCCAATCGTTCCCTCAAAATAAAACCAGTCATTGGTTCCACTAGAAAATTCATGCATTGCACTTTAAGCATTGCAAGCATTGAAAAACTATTCATTGTAGTGTATGTGTTTTTTTTTAGCACCAATGGAAAAAAAATAAAGACTGGTAAAATACTTTGCTACAGACAACAGTTTGAAAGGAGAGTCAGATTACACTAAATGAGCCACTTAAGAGAAATGCAAACTGCAGTGTATCCTTAGAGGTAATAACACATTCAAAATGTATATTTATAGAAATGTATTGTTTACCATTTGAAATCTGCCTCATGCTTCCAGGCTGTAATAGTTTTCATTGGCTAGTCAAGAAAACGGGTACAAATCAATTAGAGGCTCTGAGAATAATCCTCAGACTCAGGGAAGAGGTTAGCCCTCTGCGAGGTGGCACCACTGCTGGGAAACTGTTTGTTTGCTTCCTTCACATCCTGGTGGCGTCTTCGTTGGAAAACTTGCTTCTCTTTATCAAGTGGCGTGGTCTGAAGAGGGGGTGAGAAAAAAAAAAACTACAGATTAGGTTTTTCACAGGAGAAGAGATGTTTACACCAAGTCTCCAATTTAAGATCCAAAGGGAACATGCAAGAAATAAAAAGCAAACTGTGATGGAGTGATACAATACTTCACCTCCAGAGATGTTTTTTTTTTTGCCATTCTGTCAAACTTAAATGTGTATTTATTAATAGATTTTAAGCCTAAAATTATGTAATCCCAATAGCTGAAAGTGATTTAATTCACTGTGGTGGGGAAAAAACTAAACTGGATTAGCCCTACATGTGGGAGAGTAAGATACTTTATCATGCTTCCATCTCACTACCCACACCAGGGTACTTCAGATTCTGAAAGAAATAAATTCTCAAATCGAACCTGAATTAAATCAGAGTAGCTTAAAAGAAAAAAACAGACAAGAAATCATCTCATATAGAGAATGTTCTGGTTTAGAAAGTAACTCGCATCACAGTAACAGTCATTTAATTTATCCAAAACCAAACCATGGAACAACCAGAACTACACCATCTTTACTAAAATACTGATCATGTCCTATTTAAATAAGTACATCAACCACAACATTAAGGCTATTGGCAGTCATATGGCCTAGACAAACCATCTTAATGATAAAACCAAAAATGTCGCTCTTGAAGAAAACCAGAACATACGTTTTGGATCATTGTAAAGCTACATAAACTCTACCAGTGACTCGTTATTAAATGTTTAAAACCACCTTTTAGATGAGCCGCCTTCCTTAGTTACATGGGTTATCTTAGATTTATAAAAAAAATTTGTATGGTGATCTGGGACATCAAGTGTGGCCTTAATACAAAAACACAGAATAATTATGAAAAAAAAAAACATTTTGTGGCACTTTGTGAAACTAACAAAAAAAGGAACATTTAACACATGTCAGCATTTTTCAATCATTAGACTTAATTTCTTGCATCATAAAGAAAACTTGGTGTATTGTAAGACAATATCACAAAACCACACAACAAAAAGGAACAGCTGCAGCACAATCAGCCCAAATAAGATGAGGTTATATACTGATGACATATGGAACGGATTATAGATGGACGACGGGTCGAATCTCAAAGGAATGAAAAATGGAGACTGCCAGCACTTTGCCACGGAAGCACTCACTGCACTTTAGCACTTTGTTGTTCATACCTTATCCAACACAATCCTGGATTCTGGCTGTGATCCAAAGACCCTGACTTCTGGATGGTTAAGTCCTGGTCCCGCAAAGCAGAGGAAGATGAACTCAGTGGATCACCTTGAACTCAAAGGAGTCACTGACCAAATTGTCAGAAAGGTGCCCAACTTTACCCATTAAAGTTGCTATTGCACTGAAAGCATTAAATGTCAACCATCAGCTAAATCGGTTTTATTTTAGGAATTTATATATTATAATTGACAAATTGCTGCTTTGTTCACTGCATAACATTTCCCCATTATAGAATGTTGAATTCATCAAGCTCAGTAGTTTTTAATCTTGTACATGTATTTACTATAACATTCATGTGCAGGATATCCAAACAAGAGTGCTGACAGTCCAGCTAGAAGGGCTTACACAGGACATGCATGACTAGGATGGATGCTAACCTCTATATAATATTAACGCTAAGAAATTGGGTTATCTGACATACTCTGCATTTCATGATATTTCAGTGGTAGGAAGAAACAAGTTACTGCAAAGGGGAAAATGCTATAAACTTCAAAAGAAATGTTTAGACTAAATAAAAAAAGTTGGTAAAAGTAGAATGGAGAAGTTAAGACAAAAAAACTTAAGCAGAAACGCATCAAGTGAACAGCACGTTTATATTTTTCAGATAAAATATAAATGGGTTTAAAGTACAAAAACAGAACAAAATCCACTAATTTATAAAGACTTGTAACGAGTTTGCTGGTTTCACCTACAAGTGGAGCTCTGCTAAATACAATGGAGCTGGATAATTATTAATTATTTAATTTATTGTTAAATTATTTAATTAAGGCCAGTTTTTACAAGAAAAAAAAACAACAAAAATGACAAAACTAGTGCAGTTAGGAAAAACATGCTACCATTGGGGCTTAAGTTGAATTCTTAATGTTTTTCCTTTCAAAGATTAAGCAAGTAGATCACAATAGCAACTGAAAGAGGGAAAAAAGTTTTCTTGCTAAAAATGGAATTTCATGCAAAGTTAGTGTGTGATTGAGTTATAATCAGAGCTTACTCTAATTACTGAGACTCCTGCTGCAGTGCTGGCGAGTTTGGGTCCGTAATTAAAATGTTTCTTGATTTTCCCAGCGACAGAGAGCTGGTGCCCCTTGTCTGACAGACATTCACCCTGGAAATCACAGAATCATGCTTAACAGTCTAATTTATCAAGCAGCTGTAAAACAGACTTCTTCAGTTGTATATATTTGCAGTGAGTTACTGAACTTACATTGACCCAGGGGTGATCCAGCACTTGTACAGCTGTGTATCTCTGATCCACAACGACCTGCAGCATGCTAGTGATCAGGGCCTAAAGATAAGTGCGATATCAATGAGTAACTAACAATAAAAAATCTGGTCCAACAGATTTTGAAGCATAATTATAGTGTAAAAGAACCTCCAGACAACCTTGGCAAGCTCAGACACATTGTCCCAGTATGGTGCTGGGAACTCAAGATGGCCTTTTAAAATCTCTTCAAAGAGAGAAATCTGGTCTTCACCACTGCTGTTTAAAAAGAAAAAAAGAATGTTAAAAATTGTAATATTAAAAAGCATACAGTATAACAGTACTGTATGCTTGATACATTGCCGATTTAAACTAGAGAGCTTAGACGGTACATTATAAGGCATCATGTACAGCAGGACATACCCACGGAAAGGAGGAAAACCACAGACCAGTATGTAAGTGATGACACCAGCTGCCCAGATATCAACCTTGAGGCCATAACTGAAGTGACAAAATGAAATGGTGGGTACTGTAAAAGAGGCTGAACAGTTCTCAGAAAAAAAAATATAAACAGCATGTTAAGTATTGAATTAGTCACCAATCTTGGACATAAATTCTAAAGGTAATGAAATTAAATCTTAACCAGGTGTTGGTAGCAACCTAAATCCAGACATAAAAACTAGTTGCAGGCATTGCCCAGGTGTGATTTTGTTCCAAACTTTTACAGCCTTTAAATCTTGAAAGTTCAATGGGCTTCCACTACGATTTGATTGGATTCTAGCAGCTTAATTTCCTTTCTCTGAAGCCAGAAAGGGTTTTCTTTTCCTCCTGAAATGTCACTTGTTTTAGCATCACACTGGTTTGGCAGATTTTTCTTAATGTCAAGTTACAACTTTTGCAATTCATCCTTTAATGATTAAAGGATTCTATATGCAGAAAAGCAGACTCAAATTATGATATGCCCAGCTCCAAAAATCACTGTCTGTACAGTATAGCATTTTTGATATGATGTGCAGTACCTTTAGTCGTCTAAACATATTGTTCATTGTGGCATATGAGGAGCTCAACTTATCTTTTACCTCGTTTTGGTTTATTTCCATGTATGAATTTCCTGGGCTGTCACAAATACCTGGTGAATATTTCACATCAATAAAACCTTTATACGGTAAATAGGTTTACTATGAAAAATGTTGACATGTTCCATTCTTATTTTAGCCATTTTATACAGCCACGAACATTCAACCTTACCCCGTTTCAGCAATGATCTCTGGTGCTACATAGGTTGGAGTTCCACAAACGGCATAGAGAGGCCCACTGACAACAGTAGCCAAGCCAAAGTCGCCCAGTTTCAGAGATTTACTACCATCACTATGTTCATAAACCTGTGAAAAGAGGACAAAACAGTGAGAAAAGTAAAACTGCTGAGGGAAAAAACACACCTGATTAAACATTTAAGTGAGACGAGTCATTAACTAAGGTTTTCCCTAAATAAAAACCAATCTGGCTGACGTGACTAAATTATTTCTGTAAAATGCCTTGAGATGACGTGTTGTGAATTGGCACCTTATAAATAAACTAAATTGAATTTGAATGTGTCGCTCTTTTTGATGTTTCATGACAATTGCAGTTATTTAGTCCCATGATTTCCACAATAATTCTGCATCATTGCTAGTTGGGAAACATACTTCAATTCCTAAAGATGATAAAAATAAAAAGAATTAATAAATAGGAAAAAAACAAATAATAGGTCAGAGCTGTCTTACTTGGAGACGCAAAAATTGACTTGACTTTTATAAAGTGGTCCTATTTTTAAGATAATTTTTTTTTTTTTTCATTTGGAAATCAAGATCCAAAGAGTATGGCAGGTGCCAATTCTCAAGCTTTCACAGCTGTTGATATTTAGAGTCATCTTTTTAAAATACAAGAACTTTTCATTAGGCTAATATTTTTGGATTTAAAAATCTTCAACTCTACTTGAAATCTGTCATTCCAAGAAATTCTATAATGTAATGATATTTTAATATATTCTATAGAATTCCAGTAAATTATATCCACATTAACTTTAATTTCTAAGATACTTATATTGACAAAAGCAATAATGTCTTTTCTAGGTACCCATCATTCAAATATTCAGATACTGTGCTATAATTAAACAATTATCTGTAAAGCATCTGTGAAGGTTTACATAAATATCAGTCTGTCAAAAAAAATTTTGTTTAAACTCTGTTTACGTTTTTATGTCATAATTTAAATGTTTGTCACTTTCTTTTAAACTAGTTTGGTTTTTAATATACCGGTAATGTAACTTCAAGGCCATTCTGGTGAATGGATATAACATGCAAGTAGCTCATTATATTGTACTTCCTGCATTGATTTTAGAGACATTACTTTTTTGTAACGTCAACCTTTTGATATTAACTCCTAATGAAAATTCCACTAAACAAGGAGTTAATCCTGGGTTAATACAAGTTCATCATTTTAAGGTATAACTTTGTTCTCAAGAGTACCATTGACTTATTCGACATGTTCTTTGCATGTTGCCCTTTAATGCTACAGATAGTCATCCTCTGCTAATAAAGACTTGTTCGTGAGTATAAAAAAAAATGGATGGAGGGGTGTAAGTATTTAGAGAGACTGTCGAAACACTTACCAAGAGATTCTCTGGTTTTATGTCTCGATGCACAATATTAAGACTGTGAAGGTATTTGATGGCGCTTGCCAGGTTGAACAACATACAGCTGGCATCACGCTCTGTGTATCTGTTTGAGGACATAATGGCATCAAAGAGATCTCCCCCCTGGACAAAAAAAAAAAAATGTTGAGATGCAGAGGAAATAATTACTTCTAGTCCTAAGGGCCTGTTTTAACGTTGACTTTTTCCATTCAAAATAATTCTATGTCAATCATATATAAATAAAGCCCTTGGGGAAAATTGCTTTCAATACAACTAAGACATTTGAAAATCTACAACAACAAACTGAGTGCAGTGTACCTTCACCAGCTCCATTACAAGATAGAGGTCACAGCGGGTGTCAATCTCTTCGATTAAAAGGACAATGTTTGGATGTTTGACACGTCTAAGGATGGCCACTTCACTTTGTATCATGTGCTCCTGAAAGTTGCCCAAGATTGAAATGCAATGAATAAAACAGCAATTTCAGGAATATACTTAATCCCCCAAAGACACACACACAATTGTAAACCTATTAAAAACAAATTAGCCCAAATTCTCTGGTTTGAAACTGGATTTTAGAAAAGTCCAAGGCATGCTTACCTTTCCCTTACATTTTTCTTTGCTGATAATTTTCAAAGCGTACTCCCTTCCAGTTGTCCTTTCCACACATTCTCGAACCACAGCAAAGTTTCCGTCCCCTAAAATCCTTCCAACTTTGTACCGGTCTATTATGGAGGTGGGAATTGTGGAGCTCCCATCAACTGGTTCAGCTGGATTAAAAAACATATCTACGATTTACAAAACAAGACACTGTGGCCCATGTGGATTCTTTGTTTCTTTTAATCTAATCACCTTCACTGCTGGGACCATCACCTTCATCCACTGAGCTGCATACCTTAGTGGAGGCTAATGAGAGTGAAGAGCCACTGTGCTGGGATCCCTAGGAAAAAAGAAAATCCAATAGTTCATGTGCTAAAAAAATAAAGCTGAAACAGTTAAATGTTCAGAAGATCAAAGCTTTCAGGATTTCATTTATATCTCGAACTAATATAGAAAAATCACAACATAACTAGGTGTGGACATCCAAAATACTACATGAAAGCCAAACCCAAAGGAATTAATAGAAGTAATATGCTTGCATGATTTTAGGACATTAATAGCCACAGTACCACCAATGTAAGCTGCAATAATGATAGATGAATAATCCTCCCCATCTTCCCATTCCCATTCCAAAACAGTATCCAGCCCCTTGCTGTATGTGTTGGCATTTCAGCCTTAAAAGTATTCTATACATGTATAGAAAGCATGAATGCTCGACAGCCTAGATATTGTCAAAAAAGTATTGTATCCATGCAGCCTCTTGTGGTTTGGCCAAAGCAGGAAATCTGAAGAAATATTCTTTGATTACCTTGTTTTTTTTCCTTTCCCTTTTATTTGTCAAAGAGTAAGTTTCTAAAAGCTTGCATGTAGAAAAAGATTTTCAAACACCAATATTATATTTTAATAAAAATCTCTAATACACCCTCCCTTTGTAATTTCAAAAGATTGTCAATCATTTAGGTGGCCAACACAAAGCCAGTGTTGTAGTATAATAAAATCTAATACTTTAGTGGTTGAACAAACTAATGAAAGGTAAATTACAAGACTATCCATCTTTTCCATCCTGTAACTTGGTTGGGGGGGGGGATGTCTTTTAACACAAGGCTTCTGTAAAACTTAGTTTTAGGCATATAACTAGTGACTATGCAAGCCTAGTTGCAGTACATTTTTATTGTTTTCTCTTCTCTTAGGTGTCTGAGCAGAACTAAAGAGCTGTCTTTCTAACCATGGAATATCAGGAATGACATCCCAAATGAATATTTCTTACTTTAGTGAAGAGTAAAACAGACTAATTAGAGTGTGGTTTTAAGTAAAGTGGGACTTTCAACTACCAATGCTTTGGATAATCACTGCATTGGACTTTATCAAAACAGGTCCTGTTTAGAGACAAAAAGGACTGACAGTCCTGCATGCAGAGAAATCATGCAAGTCGGAATCCTCTATAATGCAAGAATTTTAGTTTTCTACAAAAACTGTTACAACCTTTCACACTTTACTGATTAAATCTATCATGTTAATTATAGCTCTGCAACAAATCGCTTCACAAATTCCATTCCACTTCCATTTTCCATGGCCTCTCCGAACTCCTCCCAGACCAGAGTTTTTGCCTCTGCAATCACACAAGCTGCAGCATGCTTGGCCTGCTAATACCTCTCAGCTGACTGCAGGGTCCAACTAGCTAACAAGGACAGGTAGGTTTCCTTCAGCTTGACGCCATCCCTTACTTCCGGCCGCCACGACCGGGTTCGGGGATTGCCACCACGACAGGCACCAGAGACCTTACGGCACTAGCGACAATGGAGGAGGAGAACATGGACCACTCAGAGTCCATGTCTCCAATCTCCCTCAGGATCTGGAAGAAACACTGGAGGTGTGAGTTAAAGACTGCACTATCAGAGGGATCCACCAGATTTTTCCAACAGATCCTCACAACATGCTTAGGCCCACCAGGTCTGACTGGCTTCCTCCCCTGCCAGCAGACCCAGCTTACCACCAGGTGGTGATCAGTTGACAGCACAGCCTCTCTCTTCACCCAAGTGTCAGAGACACTCGACCAGAGATCAGATGACACAACTACATAGTCCAACATCAAGCTCTGGCATAGGGTGCCCTGGTGCCACATGCACTTATGGAAATCCTTGTGCTCGAACATGGTGCTTGTTATGGACAAACTGATCAGCACAGAAGTGAAATAACAGAACACCATTGGGGAGGACATTCCTACCAATCATGTGTAGGAACACGACCCTCTCATTCACCGGGGCTTCAGACATAAATATGGTGTAAACAATTATAAATTTATAAAACAAAAATGATTTAACAGCCCAGGAGCTATAGGTCTACTTGTACTCTACAAACATCAATTTTATTACCTGTCGTCTTCGGAGGCTGGCTGGGCTGGTTAAAATAGGGCTTGGAGACTTTCCAGAACGAGGCGTAGAAAGCGTACTGCCTGCAGTGCCATTTGCTGAGAACAAAATAAAGAAGTTAGCAAAGGAAAAATAAAAATTGCCATCTGAATTTTAGTCAGCACATATACCTGATCCAGCAGGTGAGGGAGATTTGCTTCTAAGGGACATTCCAGCAGTTCTTGGGGAAGAGCGACCATGCACCGAGGGCAGTCGACTGTATGATTGTGATTTTGTCACTCTGCATTCTGGTAAGGATCAAAAACAATCAAAGCATGCAGTGTGATAAAAATCCTTAAAAATGTATTATATTCACAAGCCTAAATAGTATGCCTAAAAAAGGTTTGTGAAAAGAAAGTGAACCACTTGGCTGAATCACTTATTTGGGAATCAAATTCAACAGTTATAGTATGCAAGTTGAAGGCATATTTAGCCTCAAATTTTTCTAGGTTCACTCACCGCTCTCATCCAAATTGAAGTCATCTTGATAGCGGAACTTTTCAGGACCACAAGCAATGAAAATATCATCTTCTGCAAAAAAGTCCTGAAGGCTTGTGACCTGTGGAAGAGGATACAAAACAGGATTCCTAAAAACCCTTCAAAGAGAATACTCATACGGTCATTTCATGCCAACTAAACAAAGTTGCATGTTTATTAACAGAAAATATCTTTGACTTAAGATGCTTCATAACAATGACATGAATTGTTTGATACAACTGAAACACATTGAACATGCAAAGAACTAGGTCCTCACACCCACCCACACCATGCGTTGACTACCACTGATTATCAGTCATTTTAAACCCTTTCTATGCCCCAACCATTACCAATGCCTTTGTCACCTTTAGCCAACTGACACCTCAGCTCCATACCTAACCATTAGCAAAATCCCTTGTGAGGACGAGCAAAATGTCCTCACTTTACCAAAAACTGGTCTTCATTGTGAAGAAGAAATTGGAACTTGTTTTGCACTTTTAAATTCTGGTTTCTATACAAGTGCAAAACCATAAAGACCATGGAAAGAGTACTAATCAATGGTTAACACATATGGCAAATGTTTGAATCGCATCATACATTTATTTTTCCCCCACATGTTAACAGTGTCCCAAATGATTACACTGTGGCACTAGAATTTAAAAATTTGGGTTTTGGGATTTGATCTTCTGACCCACCAGTATAAAAAAAAAAAAAAACGAACACTGTGGCCGCTTTTGTATTACTGTTGACTTACAGACTTATTGACTTTCCAATCACTGTTTTGTAATTCATGGCATACTAATTTGAATTTCAAGTTATTTTAGCAACAGATAATGAGTCATTTCTTTCTTTATGCATTTTTTTAATATGGCAGGATACGTCTTCCATACTACTGAATTAAATTGAGGCATTGAGGTAATGAATCCAACTGTTGTGAAACAATGTTGCATGACGATGTCTAAAATAAAACTTTAGTTTGGATCATATTCCTGAACCACCATATCCACCCGACTCACCAGCGACTGATGTGCAGATGAGTTTAGAACCTTGAATAAATATGATTGATAATTTTACAGTAAACATGCATACAGAGCCCAGCGGTAAGGTGCCACATTGTCTAAATATTAAAGGGACACTATGCAACATTTTTCAGTTAATTAATGTGTTCCATAACGTTATGGATGACTAAATGAGTCATTTCAGGTTGAACAAAGGTATTCTCGGCCGCCCTGGTGGTCTGTGGGGGAAATACTGCACTTGCAATTGCAGGAGCACCGACCCGCACCCACAGGCTCAGAAGTCTCGTGAGAGTCAGTCTTGCTTTACGGCGAGAACTGCTACACGCCCCCAGTTAAAAGCATTCTCGTTGCTAGCACAGTGGCAATCTTTGTGCAGTTATGCTACGTTCACGCAGCAAAAGCAGCAAAATCGCGTCTGCTGCTTCCTTTTTGCTGCTTGTACCAGTTAGTTCTGACGCGCGGCTGAAGCAGCTTTGCTGCTCTGGCTGCGCGGTGCAAAAGTGTGTCTGAGGCGCGTTGGGCGGAGCTTCACTATCCTTTCTCTGCCTTGCAGCTATATTTGCTGTGATCAGTGGGAATAAAGTAGTTTTAATATGTGTTTAAGTGAGAAAATACACCTGAAAACGTAATCAGTGCAGTCAGTTCATTCAGATTATTATCCTGCCTTCAATATTTTTTCTGTCGGAGCCGCTCAGACCCCCACATACCAGCGGGGCGCCGACAGTATGGATCCCTTCATCAGCAGCGGTTCACCGCGGCAGCTGGTAGGTGTTTTTCATCTAAATAATCCAAACTGCATATTCTGCCGGCAGATTTCTGCATTTTAAGTTAATTTAGGCATCAATAAACTGTTTAAGAGGAGTGATCATCAGCGCTGTGTCTCTCTCCCTGCGTTAAACGCACCCGACGCGCTGCTTCAGCTGCTCAGACGTGCTGCGCCTGGTGCTCAAAACGCGCCGCGGGACCTTTTGCTGCGCCTTGACGCGCGTCAACCATTGACTTTGCATGTAAACTCGCTGCTTCTGTCGCGCCAGCTACGTCCAGTGTGAACGCAGCGTTAGTCATTCGCTGCTAAGCTCAAAACAACCGCGCCTGGCTTGACGGAGAAACCAGGAGAACAGCTGTGCATATTTACGACAGTGCACTTTTACTTTCGCCCTCTGGAGGGAGCCTCACTGGAAAATCAACACCGGTTGCATAGTGTACCTTTAACCCTGCACAAATATACAGTCCAAAAAAAAAAATTATTTACATCAACTTCCTGTCTTATAACGAATTGGGAAAAGGGGAAGTGGCGTATGTCTTAAAGCATACATCACTTCAAGTCTGCATTTTTTTTTTTTTTTTATGTGGCAGGGTTGCTGTCATCCTCAAAGTTGCTTAGTGCCGGTGAAAGCGATACAGACCCCCCCAGGCCATGACAGAGGCATCTAGTTGTAAGTCGATATATAATCACCAAAATAAAGCACCCCTTCCCTAACCACTTGTCCAGGTATCAGTTTATATTTAGAAGAAAACGCATATCAAAACAAGAAAACCATTTTAACAATCCGAGAGAAAAAAAAAAGTTTTTTTTAAAGCCGATGTCAACATGTACAGTAAATACACAACCCAAAAAAATAAAACTACATTCTGCTCACCATCTAATTAGGCTCCATAAAACCTTTATCCAGTCAGGATCAGACATGCAAGCTATTGGTTTACCAAAGGTTAAAGAACCATGAAAACTGCCCTTTTGATGACAGTGGGTGGTTAGTTGGCCATCTGTTGTCACAACATAACAGCAAGCATTGAATAAAAAGCAAAGAATAGCACCGATGATACAAAAGCTCTTGTTTCTAAGGCCATAAAAGACACTTTAAAAATCATAAATCTAAATAAACCTTAAAACTTAAAGTGCAAGAAAATATAAAAGCATATTTTTTTGCGCATCCCCACTGGCAGTATCAATTCAGCCACATTTTGCTAGTAACAGGTTGGATTCCCTTTTACCTTCGGAACTATATCAATTCTTATTGGTAAAGATTTAAAAATATATCAGAAACATTCCTTTCACATCATTGCCACTCCGCAGCAGAGACCGTTTCCTAGCAACCACCCCATAAAACCAGTCATGCCAGACAGTGTTACAGTCAAACGCTAACAGATAGGACACGATATTTGAAGTGAGTTTCAAAGCACTTACTATTTCCGTGAGATACTTAGTCAGCTATTTATGCAGCTGAAATGAAAAGGATGCAAAAACTACATCGCCAAAAGAATTCTCACACCATATGAACTTGTGTGAAAACACATTCTTAATCCATAGGGCTTAATATGATGTGGGTCTGCCCTTTGCAGCCATTTCAGCTTAAACTATTATGACAAGGCTGTCCACAATGTTTAGGAGTGTGTTCATAGGAACTGGCCAATTTTTCCAGAAATGCATTTGAGACAACAGACCAGTGTTTGATAAGATGGTCCAACTACTCCAAGTTTGGGGGGAGTGCTGTCCTAGTTCTTAGAACAGTACGATTGTGCTCTGAAAAGGATGCAGTACCCGGTTCGATCTCCACAGCCTGCACTCTGGGTCCCTGAGCAAGACCCTTAACCCCACACTGTTCCATGGACGCCACACAATACCAACCCACTGCTCCCCAAGGGGATGGGTTAAATGCAGAGAGTTAATTTCATTGTTTTGTACTTGTGACAGTGTAATGAAAAAGTTTAATTATATTCCAAGTCATTTAAAACATGGTCCATTTGTATAAAGTCAAGACTGAGCAGGCAAGTCCAGCTTACCCACGTGGAGCTCTCACCCATGGCTTAGAGAAATGCAATTTGAGCACTAGAAAATGCTCAAGTTGTAAAAGGTCCAATCTGAAATACACTTCAATGTTAATAGCAACCAGAGCTCAAATTCCCCTCTCCAAACATTGGCACATTTAGGTCAGGGAAATGTTCTCCTGGCAACCACAGAACCAACATTTTTACATAGGATTGCCAGATGGAGAAGCACCATGTTATTGTTCAGAATATTCACCTCCCCTGCTCTAGAGTTCAGTGACCGTCTGCATCCCAGACTTTGATGATAAACTTTGTGATATATTGTTTGAAAGCACTAGCTTGGTCATGGAAACCTATACCATGATACTCTCCAACCACTGTTCTTGATCTACATCTGCTGCTCCATAAGTGTACTTGACCCAAAACCCTGCTGCCAAGTTATCTTTTTCGAATGATTAAACTTTTTTTTTTTTTTTTAAATAATGCAGCCAACAATCAGAACAATTTAGCAGCATAGGTGGCATCCAAACAGTAGAACTCTGGAGTTCACTGAAGTCCTTAGAGGAACCCATTATTCCACACGTGTTTGTAGACAGTCTGCATGCCTAGGTGCCTTCTTTCATACATCTGTGCCATTGGAGGGAATCGATACACCTTGACCTAATTATTTGGATGTGCGAGAAAATAGTTTTGGCAATACAGTCAAGCAGTTTGTTAAAACCTGCTTTTCTCTCGAACGCTATAATTTCAGTGTAATTAAATGTATTCTAGTGTTTGGGTATCATCTGGTTGCCCGATTGATGTAAAACAAATTCATGTTGATTACAACTGTTTTAAGTCCTATCCTGAAAAAAAAGAAAACTTCAAGCAGGTTAATAACAAAGCTTTTAATCTCAAATAAGATTACATGATCCCACCTAATAGTGTTCTGTTGGTAGGAATATGGGATGGAGTCCTAGAAACCCATTTCTGGTAATACATTTAGCAAGTATTCCCAGGTGATTTTTAGTGTACTGCAGTATGAAAGAAACTGCAAGAGAGACTACTTAAAAAAAAAAAAAAAAGGAGTAAAATACTGTTTCAATGTGCTGTGCTGAACCCAACTCTGGAAGAAGGCTCATTAGGAAATTAGAGTGGGTCAAGTCTGTCCCCACATCGTCTATGCATCGTCAATACCCATTTCCTTTGGATCAAAAAGGAAAGCAGGGCTAACTAATGTACACAGACCATTTATCACCATATGAGCACTTAAACTTTAAAAGTGGAGAAACAAAGCAGTAGATTCAAGTTATCTGCAAAGCAGAGCACTTATACTTTAAACCTTCTTCTCCGACTTTATACATATAAAACATTCATAGCCAACATACTGTTGCCTGGGACTACTGTAAAGAAATGCTGAGACTGAAGTTTATCAAATAAAGGTTTTGGATCCTTCTCATGACAAGGTCATTGAAAGTTTCATAAATGACTGAATCAAATTGAAATGAGTCTAATCATTCTGAAAGACATTCTTCATGAAGCTATTAAGAGAAATATTTTAATTTCCACAATATGTATGAGAGCACCAAAAATAGGTTCAGACATAACCAATTACCATCCTGTTATCTTTGGAAACAAGGAGAAAAATGTGAATTTTAACACCTACCATTTTACCATCAACAGTATAGAGCCTTTTGACAACTCCAGAGTCCAACTTGACGGCGTCTGTGATGTCACTCATGACCTGCTCGAAGGAGTGTGCCGTCTTCTTATTGAGCAAAATCCGAACAGCTTTTCGTGGTTTTACTCCACTGCGGACAATGGTCACCAGCTTGGGTTTTATGAAGTCTTTGCTCTCCCTGGTTTCCGGGGATCCAGCCATGGCACTGCCGAGGGAAGAAGGCTCACGGACAGCACCTGCAGCCCTGGCTCCAACTGCCCAGTTGGGATTTACATTCTTCGTGTAGTCTAGCTTCTTATAAGGCTCTATGGATGCACAGACATAGCTTTCTCCTGCAGAAAATCAAGATTTCAAAACAGATTAGAAAATCAATATAAATTACAGTATTTTAGTAAAATTATAAGCACTTAGGGGCAAAGCTCACCTTCCACCAATTGGTCAATGCTGGTAATCTTGGTTGCCCCATCAACAGTATATATGGTCCTCACACCTTGGGGCAAGTTGACATTATCTGACAGAGACCTTGTGAGATCTGCAAGAAGAGCATCTAAAGACCTAAATCTCTCTTGAGATATGGCGTAAACAATCCCTTTGAAGTAACGGTCACCGTTGCGGTAGAAACGAATCTTCTTGGCCTTCTTTTCTGAGCTCAGGGCTTGCAGTGTCCTGGTTCTGTACAGGCTGCAGTGAGCGCTGTGAGTGGGGCTAGGGAGTCCATTCCCTCTAGACCCTCTTCGGGTGTATCTCTGAGCCTTATCCCGCTCATCAAAGTGCTCCAGCTCCATGATGTTTTAGTAGGCTCTAGAATTAAAAAAGAAAGCATGTTAATTAATAAGATCATTAATCAGAATCCAGGAAACACCCACATCAAATTAACACTGCTCTGCATCAGGGTAGTCAATTAACCGGGCCACCTGATTTATACAAGCTCTAATGCTGCATTTGTTTCTGGTAAACACATAAAGAAGCATGTCACACCCATATAATGATCCATTATGTCTCATGATTAAATTATGTCCAAATTTAATATAAGATTCCTGGAAGCTATTTACAGGCAACATATGACTGTCAAAGATATTTTGAAAAAAAAAAAAAAAAGCTAAATGGCAATTCAATATTTTGTTTTTCTATTTTCTTACAATTTTAGTGCAACATCTTACCTCGAAGGTGAGGACAGAGGTAGAGAAAAAAAAAAAAGATGTCTGTGCAGGAGTCTTAAATAATCTTATTAATGTGATGCCGTGGTTTAAGCATGCGTCCCTTTGTTGCCCTATGATTGTGCTTGGTCGTCCTGCGGTGAGTCTCCTCTGTTTGTGCTCACATGCAGACTGGAGGCAGGGCAGCCGGTATCCTCCCCCCTCCTCTACTCCATTGCGGTGATCAGCAGGGCGCGCGCACGTTATGACGGGGCGCAAAAACGCAGCATGCGCGCGCACGTGAGCCATGCAGGCAGCATACCTGCCTCTTCTCCATTGTTTAAATAGTTATCACAGTTGAAATTATGTTTTTTTTTTTTACATTTTGGACAACTTTAAAGTGGCCTGCCCCTTCAGAAAAACAGTTAAATTAATGTTTAAGTTAATTTTAAATTTATTTAGCTTTAGTGTGTATCATTTCTCATAAAAATCTAAACCGTTTATATTTTTAATCTCTGAATAAACTTTTTCACAAATACATTTTAGAAACGTTTGACTTTATCGCTAATAAACATGTCTTAACAGGACAAAAAGGGAACAAGAATAGGTAGTTCATAAAATAGCATCTTGCACACAAACACCTCTAGCTAATGACTACAGATAGGATAACCTAACTGTCCATATTTTTATTTAGCATATTTTCTGGTAAATACATAAAGCTTTTCCATTCCTGATAGCCTAAAGGATAATTTTGAATTCCTTACCAGAAAACAGATTTAGTTCCAGCATCAGACTCACCATGCTCCACAAATCATGCTTCCATGTTCATGTTAGGGAGCATCTCACACAGGTGGGGATGATTAGAGTAATTAATTGCATCAGAAGGATTTCCTGCACCTGAAAGGCACCTGATTGCTGACTCCTCAGCTCTGCGAGAATGACCTTCTAATGGGTAATTTTGACCTTTACTTAATTCATTAAAAAAAAAAAGAAGAAGAAAAGCAATAGCAGAGGGGCAAAGATTATTTTTGATCTGACTCCAGTTTTATCAACAGTATTGAGTTAGTTCAACTGATGCCAACATGTACATTAGTATTTGGCTTTTGTTCAACAGCCATGCTAAATTTGAAAAGGTTAACCTGGAGAAAGGTAGCTGATCAGGCTAAAATCCACAAAGTCATAAAGTAAAAATATTTAAAAAGTGCCTTTTAGTTTCAAAACCTACAATATATATATACATATATTTCTGTACTATTCCTCTTACTTTTAGTACAGCACAGATGGGAATATCAATTTGTGAGGTTTACAAGTTTATCCAGTTATATTAAGGGTTAAGCTTGAATAGGATGTTAATAGTGTTTAAAGAGGTTAAATAAATCTCTGTTAAATGACCTGAAGAAATGCTGCACAACTAAGAATTCGGGTACAGTGTCTCATAATCATTCCTTTTTTTGTTGAGAAGATTAGTTTATTTTAAACACATTAAAAAGGAAACCATCTATGTTTATCAAATTAAAACTTAACTTCGCTGCTCAATCCTTTGTACAAATGTATATCTCTAAACACGAATGACATAGGTGTCAAATTTTAATAAATATTTTCCAATTGTTTTTCCTATTTTTCAAGTAGACTAAAGTCTTTTAACAAAAATGAAAGTTTAATACTTAAAATTTCGCTAAAGCAAATTTCTGTTCAATAGCTTTTTTCAATGTATAATTTTTATTACCATTTGTGAAATTAAACTATTGCCTAAGTAATATTTTGACTTCACTGGGCAAGATGAATACTATTATTGATTAATCTACATGTTTCTTTTTAATTAAATAAATATGCCTCTTATGTACTGGAGGTTTCTACCTTTTGTCAATTATCAAAACTCCAAGCAGCTCATACTGTTCAGATTTTTGCATTATTTATATAACTAAATTGGGTGCAGTGAGGTGCTGCCATGGATGAACAACTTGTCCAGATAAGATAAGATCAACTTTATCAATCTCACAGTGGAGAAATGTACATGTTACATTGGCTCAATAGTCTAAAGAAGGTGCCAAAAGGAGGAAAAGGTGCACTGGGTATATACAGTATATACAGTTCGTCCACATAGTCTTTGGCAAAAGACACCAAAGAATATATTTCTTTACTCGAGGTAAAGTTTTTCTATATGTGTTGTATTTAATCAGATGTTTTCTTTCAGCCTTTGTCACTGGACAACTTAACAGAAAAGCTGCTGGAAAAACTCTGATGGATCAAACATTGGTTCAAAGTGGAAACCTCGCCACAGTGCATTTCAGGCCAATACTGCTGGACAAATCGACCGTACCACGGGGACAAATGCTGCCAGTGTGCCAAGAGCAATTTCTGTCGGACTCATTTAAAATCATGGAAGACAACTGCATAAACAAACAATCTGCATTTAGAGGTATCACTTCAAGTTCTTTTACACAGTCAGGTTATAGTTGCATGCTACCAGAGATGGGACGGGTCCCATCTTTAAGCCAAATGCCTTGTGATGGGACTTCAGGCCAAATTGATCCTGATGCAGATAAATTTGATCAAAACGATGTCCCACAAGAATTAAACCATGCTTCAAGGAATGTTAATTCCTTAAGAGGACATGGTGGGGCAAACTCCATTGATCAAAATGAATGGACAGGAGAGAATTTAACTCCAGTGTTTCAAAACCAAACTTCAGTTCTGCATTCCAGTTATTCGACACCTAAAGAAGGAACTAATCCACAGGGAGAAGTTCCTTATAAGTCAATAGCTCTGGATGCTACTAGTCACTTTGATGCAGTCAGTCCTCAGTGGCTTGATTTGTTTCTGGATGGACGGGGTAACTTGTGCTTTCCTGATGCTAATCTTGAAGATTCTTTAATTTCACCTGAACCAGGATGTTTTTAATCAGTAGATTGGAAAGGCTATCTTATTTCCATTTTTTTTTTTTTTTTTTTGTTGAATCCAACTAATGCACTTTTTCTTTTGCTAGGGCACAGAACATCCCTAATATTCAGTATATATGCTGTACAGCAAACAAAATGTTAGCTGGATGTTTCTGTAAAGCTTAATATCCATAATTATCTCCAAATGTTTGTTTCCCAAGTTTTAAGTTATTTATGAAACTAAAATTGGGTAGCAGTGAACTACTTGTTTTTGTTTCTCAAAAAAAAAAAACATCTTGTAATTTTCTTTTTGTTGTAATAAAAAGCATCATGACATCTAGAATCGGCCCACTCCATACTGTCACTGGCTTTTGAGTTCTTTACATTTTTTACCCAGTCTATAGGAGAAGTATGCAGTCTCCAGGTAGGAGTATAGGGGAGTATGGGAGAACATCGGAAATGAAAACAATGAAACGCAGCATAGCAGTTACTGTATTAAAGATTTTAATAATCTCCTGGCAGCCTGAGGTTAGACAATAGAGGGAGAGAAATTAAGATTATTTCAAAGGGAAAAATGGAACTAAATGAGTACAGTACCAAATTTGGCATCACACAAATTAATTTTATTTTTTTGTTTGGTTCACCTCTCACAGAGAAAAAAAAAAAAAAAAACCTTTATTAAAATTTTCAAGACAGTTCTTTGGATAAGTTTCACAAAAACAGGCAGTATTACAGCTAGTGGGTTAAAATAAAAAGACCTGAATAATTGGTAGAATCAGACCTCCCTACTTTCAGGTGAGACGATAGGGTTTTAATATCTGCAGTATAAAGAAGGAATGCTCTTTACGGAAGATTAGACAAAGTACGGAAATACTTCATGGCATGTTGGGCTTTTGAAATGTTTAGAGGCAAAAAAAATAAATCAAACTTCACAGACAGGAAAAATAAGTGATGACTTGGAAAAAAAACCCAAATATTCAATCTGAAACCATAATTTGTTAGGTGGAATTTCTCTCTCTCCATATTTATATATATATATATATATATA